AGCGCAATTCATCATGTTCGTTACGTTGTGTTTCGCCAGTTTAATCGTTTGGTGTACAGCTGAGAGACAAAATTTTCTTTTAATAATCGTTGATGATTTAAGAACTACTTTAGGATGTTACGGCGATCTTAAAGCTTATACACCGAATATAGACCGTTTCGCAGCAGAAGCTGCCATTTTTTCCCAAGCATTTGCTCAGGTTAGTATTAAATTAAGGAATTAATGATGAAGCTTATAGATCTATTACAAAATATACATATACATGTAATGAAATTTGTTTTTAGCAAGCTTTGTGCGCGCCAAGTAGAAATTCATTTTTAACAAGCCGGAGACCAGATACACTTCAGCTTTATGATTTCTATAGTTATTGGCGAAAAGATATTGGTAACTTTACAACATTGCCCCAACATCTTAAGAGTAATGGATATATTACTAAATCAATAGGAAAAGTGTTTCATCCAGGTTTCTACTTTAAGATACAACATGCGGATATAAATTGTTTTATATCATACTAGTTATGATGTTTTGCAGGAATTAGTTCAAACAATTCGGATGATAACCCTTATTCATGGTCGGAAACTCCATTTCATCCATTTACAGAAAGATATAAAGATGCTCCAATATGCCAAACAAACGAGCAGCTATTACCTGCACGAAATCTTGTAATATTTGTGAAACAATGAATTATTATTTGAAAAAAAATTAAATACTTGGAATTTTGCTTATTGCTTGTTTTTAGCTATGTCCAGTCAAAGTTTCATTAATGCCAAATAAAACATTACCAGATATAGAAATATTAAAGGAAGCTAAAAATTTTCTATCTAATCAAGCAGGAAATAGCCCTTTCTTTTTGGCAGTTGGATTTCAAAAACCACATATACCATTCAAGTATCCTAAAAAATACATAAGTATTTAATTATTATTATTATTATTGGTTATAGCACTCGTAAAGAATTCTAATTAAAGAAATAATTTTTATTAAAAAATATTTTGCAGAATATCATCCTTTGCAAAAATTTAAAGTACCTAAACCTTATAAATGGTCAGATAATGTTAGTAGTATTGCCTATAATCCCTGGAATGACTTAAGGAAAAGGAAAGATGTTGCTGCCTTAAATCTTAAATTTCCATGGGAAAAAATACCAGGTAGAGTTAAAGCGATACATGAAAACTTATTTTCTTACGTATGTTGCACGAAGATATTATTTATGTTTATTTCTTCTTAACTTTTAGAAAGTTTTGCTCTATTAATTATTCAATCATACTATGCATCTGTAACATACATTGATAACTTAATTGGTAAATTAATAAATCATCTGAAAAAATTGTCAATTCAAGAAAATACTGTTATTATGTTAACGTCTGACCATGGTTAGTTAAAAAATCTTTAATTAAATATTTTTATATTTTTTAAATTGTTAATTTTTTACAATTAATTTGTATAGGATGGTCTTTAGGAGAGCGTGCGATATGGGCAAAATATAGCAATTATGATGTTACTCTAAAAGTACCATTAATAGTATCAATACCTGGGCTGACATATAAAAAATCAAAAACAAATACAAATGTAAAAGATTCGTCAGGAAGAACTCAGACATTTATTAATTCAATAGTAGAATTAGTTGACATTTTTCCAACAATAGCAGACTTAGCAAATATTTCAATACCTATTTGTTCAAATGAAACTACGCAAATTACTTGTAGTGAAGGAATTACTTTTGTACCACTTATAAGAGCTGCCTTAAAAAATGAGGTTAATTAACATTAAATTACAAATTTATATTTCATAATTTTAATAATACATAATTGTTAATTGTAATCTAATGTTTATCTTAAAACATTTATGTTTATTAATTTATAGACAATATCATGGAAAAAAGCTGCGTTTGGGCAATATCCAAGGCCAAGCATTGAACCGTCGATACATCCAAATAGTGATGAACCATGTTTAAAAGAAATTAAAGCAATGGGATATACCCTAAGAACAAATAAATATCGTTACACAGCGTGGCTCTCATTTGATTCTAAAAGTAAATTATCAAATTGGAGTAATATCATTGCAGAGGAATTGTATGATCACAATAATGACGAAGGTGAAAATCGAAATGTAGCATTTCTCGAAGGGTATATGAAATTAAAAGAGAAATTAAAGATTTTATTGCAACATGGTTGGAGAAATGTTTTATCAGATGAGCTTAATTTATAAATTATGATTATATTTATTTAATGAATTTATTAACACTTTAAATATATTTGCAATATATTTCTTGAATCAAACGAACTTCATATTTTTATGTGTAATATGAAATTAATTGATTTCCTTAATTGTTTAATATAAGCTAATTACCACTAAGCTAATTTGGAAAACTATACATTCTATTAATATTCTACTCAAGCAATCTAAATCGATATAAAAATTTCTTGCAATTAGTACGGATATATAACTTATATTATATTATATATAATATATATAACTTATATTATATATAATATATATAATTATATTATATATAAACACGTATATGTGTATAGTTGATAAACTAAAAAACTTATTAAATAAAAATGATTATCAATTAATTCTATATATATAATTCTATTATATCAATACTGAAACTAGGTAATATAATGCAATACAAAATACAATATAAAAAATTAAAATAATAAGACGTTAAACCATATAAAGTAAATATCATTATACAATATATAATAATTATATAATAATTTTATATTGAATAATATAAAAATTTAGTTTTTAGTAATGTTTATCGCACCTTTTTTATCTCATTTATTCCTCTTGATTTTTATTTTTGTCGTTTACTGTAGTTGAAGTGACCTGAAATTTTTAGATTGAAGTGACCTGAATTTTTAGAATTATAGAGTTAATAAGTTTTACATCTAATAAAGATATAACTTTATATAACTAATTCTATGTACATCACCTCTATAACATCATCGTCGATATTTTCCGTTCTAATATCGTTAGTCCTATAATCATTTGATTCATTGGCTAAATTCTTATTTGTATTTGGTACTGGATATACTCGACCCAAATTGGGTAATTGGGTCCTTATGGTCTGTATTGGATTCACATTTGGATTCTAATGTGTATAAATGTTTAGTTAAATTTCAAACCAAAACATGTTTCGTGTCTAAATCAACAGAAAATTGTAAGAAATTATTGAAATACCTGATTGATCATTTGATTTACATTATTATATAAAGAATATTGTTCCATGTAGTTGTACATATTTTTTAATACATTAGCAGTCAATATTTTTTGGGTCTCCGGTGTTGTATTAGGATACTGTAAAATGTAAATTGTCATAAAAAATATTTGAGATTGATTAAAAAGAAAAAAATCTTACGTCTATTCTTACATCTTTTCGATGAAGTTCTTGGAGTTTTTTAATGTCCATGCCAACGGTAAACGCTGGTGATATTGATGACATATACTGACTTAACATTAAATTATTTGGGAACGGTATCATATTATTTGCTGAAAATGATGCCATTGCTGGCGGTTTTCCTTTCTTTTCCTCTTCATATTCTAGCCAAGCTTGCTTTCTTTCTTCTTCATCCAGTTCTTCCTCTGCCTGTTTTTAAAATAGATTTATAAAGAAAATTTATTTCAAAAACGAGTAAAAGGTTATTGTTACTACGTAGCTGTAAATTACTTTATTTTCCAAAAGAGAGTCATGTTCATGATTTTTTTCCACGAAATTTTTATATTTTAAAAATATCTCTGCTAATAAAATGTCTTTGGGTAAATTTAGAGTTGGTTTCTCTCCGTTGTTCCGTTCAAACGTGTATAATTCACTCAAATCATGATTGCTATAATGACGTTCTATTTGTTGTTCATCGATTACTCTACAGGAAAGTGACAGTTTTGTTACTTGTCGATTATAAATCTTCTCTTCCATTGTTCCAGCTGCTAGAAACCGATAGACGTAACATGGTTTCTTCTGGCCAAATCTGCAAATCGTACGTGATTGTAAAATCTTACGATCGAGTACGATGAATCAGAAGACGCATACCTATATATACGAAATATACTTTGAACATCATGGGAAGGATTCCAGCTTGCGTCGAAAATAATAACGCGATTAGCAGCGGTTAGATTAATTCCCAGTCCACCTGCTCGAGTCGAAATTAGGAACAATCTTGCCCTTGTGTTTGTTGATTCATTAAATATTTTACACCATACGTTTCGATTTTCAGCGGATGTTTGACCATCCAATCGAAAATAATCTGTTCCCAATGACCAACTTCCAACATGTCCGTCAATGTATTCGGAAACTTCATCATTCTGCGTTGCATTATCGATTTTTTCAAGAAAGTGCTCGATTAGACTCAACGAATACAACGATTGCGAAAATACCAAGCTAAAATAATTATAATTTTTAAAAACAGTGCAACATTATTGCTTAACATTCCAGAATAATATGAGAAAAACATACACTTTGTCTCCAATTTGTTCGCATTCTTTCAAAATTGCAAAAAGTAGTATCAATTTAGAGGAAATCCTCATATCGTCGAAGTGTTCAGGTTTGACAAACTGTGACCACCATTCCTCTTCTTTTTTCTCGGGTTCGTCGTCGATAGCTTGGACATCCTCATTGTCTTCAATAACGCTGCTTGTACTAGAGCTGAGAGTAGAGTCTGAATCGCCATCATTAATGAAATCTTTCAAAGAACCCTCGGAATCATCAGTGAATCTCTTCTCATTCATCTTTTCTATTTTCTCTGCATTTTTTCGCAAAACCCAAGGATGTGTCCATATTCTTTGTAACGCCTGGAAATCTGCGAAAAGAGATCCATTGGCATTGCGTATTCGTCTGAAACAAAAGACATACGTTAAATTTTGAAATTTTGTTCAAAAATTGTTTCACGTACCTTGCAAAATTATCCAAATAATGTTGATATATATTAACTTGCACATCTGATAAAGTGACAAAGATCACGTATTCTTGTTTCGGAGGTAAGAAAGGTGTTAATACAGAATAATCGAATCTTTGCACACAGCCTTTTAACATTTTGTGTAAAACGTATGCACGTTTTTTCATTAGTTTTACATCATATTCGGTAGAATCATCGAACTGACCGTTAGTTATTGGATTTGCAAACCTATTTAAAAATTCTTTTTTTGTTCCTAAAAGACTTGGTTTTACAAACTGTACCATACAGTGATCTACAATATATCAATTATAATATTTAATTAGATGAATATTGAATCACTTAGACGAAATACTTATTATTCGATATTGATCAAGATTTCTTACATTCTATCAAGTTATTTTGAAGTGGTGTTCCTGTAAGTACAATCCTCCGTAGTGTCCTAATGCGATTCATAGATTTGCTAAGAGCAGTATCCTCATTTTTTAGTAAATGCCCCTCGTCACAAACTATCACGTCCGGGCCAGGATCTATTAAGTATTGTAAAACTGCTTCTTTCATGTTCTTTCTCATTTTTTTATTTGGGCCACTAAGATTCCTAAACATTTCGTAGCCAATAATGAACACACCTCCAGTTTTCTGCCAGGTTTCCAATTGAAATCTTCGTTCTATGTTCTTCTTCAATCTTTAAAAAAATTCACCGATAAATGTTGTATTACCATTCAATTATCAACGATTCTAAATTTATTTGTTATAGTTAAAATTCATAAATTTACTTTATTAATATCTAAATTTCTTAAATTTGTAAGTACAATATAATTTTGGCTTACTTGGTCATTTCGTAAATTTCGATATCATCATCTCTATCCTTCAACCAAGTGGCAAATTCGTTTACCCAATTGAGTACCGTGCTTAAAGGGCAAACGATCATAACTGTTTTGATACTCGATTCGTATGTCAAAAGTGTATGTACCAAGGCAATTACTTGAAGACTTTTGCCTAATCCCATACAATGTGCAAGTATACATCCAGATCCACTGGAAGACTTCATTCTTTCCAATGATTCAAAACACGAATCCCACATGAATTTTATTCCCTTAGCTTGGTGAGGTTTCAAATTCTTTACCAAATCGTTATGAACAGTCACCAATTCTTCTTTCGTTTCAGGATCAAAATCTAATACCAACTTATCTACTTTTTCTTCTCCAGCCAATCTTGTTTCATACATCTCATTGTACTACATTAATTAAATTAAAAAAAAAAATAAAATAAAAAAAAACTTTTCATTTACTCTTACCAAAAACGAATTAATAAAAAACGAATTAAGAATTAATTAATTAAACATGTACCAATTTCTGTCTTTCAGAAATACGTTTAAGCCTTTCTTCCTCTTCTTTTGCAGCTTGCTTAGTATCATGTGTAACTTGCTTATCTTTCATTACTTTCCGTATATTTTTTCGTCCCTTTTTTCCAGGTGTTCCTTGAGAATTCGTGATCTGGTCCTTATCGATACTTTCGTCACTATCACTAGCCATATTTTTAATGCGTTTTCTCTTCCGCTTGACTCTAAAAATATATAAATCAGTATAGAAAGCCATCACAAATTTGTTTGTACGATTAACTGTTTATTATAAAATTGATGGTTTGCTACAAAAGAGAAGAAGAAAAATAAAATTTTAAAGAATTTCTAGACCAGAAAGATTATTAAGTAGTAAGTAATACATTGTAATCAAATTCATTATATAAAAATTTAAGAATGATTTTTGCACGTATTTACTACTGATCCAAAGTTCTTTCAAAGTATCATATATTTTTATTGAAAATAATTATTATAGAAAAAAGTACCTTTTTTCTGCGAAGGAAGAATCTGTATCAGATGATCTACGTGACTTACGTTTACGCATGTTTTTTAGCTTCCGCACTGAAAAGTCACTATCTGAGGACTTATTATCTGAACTACTTGATTCTGTATCAGAATTTAACAGCTGTACATCTGAATCAGAATCTATAATCTTTCTACACTTTCTTCTTTTACGTTTCACAACTTTATTCTTGATAGTTGGAACTTCACTATTGAAAAAAGTGCGATAATTTATTTAATATATTATCGATACGTTCATCAATCATGTTAAGTAACTCACGTATGATTTTCTGTTTCTTTTTGTTTCTTATTCCATTTTTCTCTTGCTACATCAGAATCTGAATCAGAAGATAATTTCATTTTTAATAGTTTATCTTGTCTCCATTTATTTTTCTTCCGGTTGTCATCGTTTTCCTAAGTAGAGTTGAGTTAATTAATATCTTAATCTACAAAAAGAAAATGGTTAATTCACTTCAATTGTTACCTCGTCATTACTCTCGTTTTTTATTTTTTGAGTCGATTGTTTTGAACTATCCTTTAATTTGGATTTCTTTTTGTCATCATCACTATTACTGCTTTCAGGAGCAGATTCTTTTTGTTCACCTGAATTAAAAGAAATATACATAAAATTTAATTTTATAATGTTATTAAATAAGAAATAATATTTAATTTAAAAGAATTTAATTTAATACCAAAATCTGAATCAGAAGAATATAAAAGTGATTTCTTAGTAGCTGCATCTGCTTCTAGCATTAATTCTCTGTTAGTTTGAAAATTAGTTTGCATTTTTGTGATTGAGCTATTATTTTCTATATTAGAATCTTCCTCTGTATTTTCTGCAAGTTCCTTATCATCTACATTTTTTAAATGGTCCAATAGAGAATCTTCAATTTCCTGCACTTTAGCCTTTTTCATTATTTTAGGCAAAGGATTCTGTATTGAATCAATAGTACTTTTACGATTTCTTTGTAATCTGTCTAAGTCAATTAGACTGTAAAAATAAAATATATAAGTTTTATTGCAAGTTAATACGAAAAACAATATATTTATTTTATACCTTTTAAACTCTTTATTCTCTAAATACTGTCGAGATTTCTCTAACGCATTTTCATGCTTCTTAAGAATGTCCTTCGGCAATTTTTCAATAATAATTTTAGCAAACATTTTTAATTTTTTATCTGGCCCGGTATAATTTATTTTCGATAAACATGCTGATCTTTTAAAGTCCAATATTTTCTTATTTTTTATGAGATCTTTTTCTTGATCTTTATTTTTCTTTGTTGTTGGAGTTTTTAACGTAATATCATTATCAGAACTTGAATTTTCGCTGGTGTCACTGGTCTCACGGTTTTTATTAATAGTTTTCTTATTATCACAAGGGCTCGTAGATTCATCCGAATTTGATTCAAGAAGTACTTGTTTGGCATAAGTTTCTTCATCGAGTTCGTCCAGTGAATTTTCAGGAATATTTTGAGTCTTATTTTTTCTTCCTTTTTTAACACATTTTTTATCTTCTGATTGCGATACATCTTTTTTTTCGAAACTCTCACTTATGCCAAAACTTTTAGTAGGCTTTTCAACCAATGATTCATCATTTGTTTGTGTGTCTGAGTCTGATTCTAATAAAGCTACTTTAGCTTGTCTTTCGGCATCAATATCATTTGAAACGTCATCTTCCTTTATTTCAGTTGATCTTATGTTCTTTTCAAAGAAAACTAATTCAGATTTTGCATTTTCAGAACATGAATTTTTATCTTCAAGTTCTGTATTCAGTTTTTCACATTTCAAAGAGTTTTTATCTTTATTATCATTATTTTTCTCAACTTCCTTCAGTTTTAAAATATCTTCGTTCTTATGTTCATCTTTTACTTCATTCAAATTATTTATGTCATTTATATTTTCATTTGTATTTTCTTCAAATATATCATCTATGGATTCATTCAAAACATGTTCACTTGTTGGTATCTGACATTTTTTAGATGTCTTTTCATTTTCATCAGCTTTTGAATTATCTTTCATGTAAGTTTTATTTTCTTTTTTATTGACCAGAATAGAAGAAATAGCTTGATCATCACTTTCACTGTTGTCTATTGACTGCTCCGAAACTTTAGCTATTGTATCTTTATTTGTTCTGTTTTTATCAGCATTTATTTTCACAACACTTGCCCCTTCATCTGAAAATATTTCATCATTATCACATTCAGAAACTATACTCTCCGCATTTGAATTATTTCTTGATTTATCTAATTCTTCTTTAGCCTCTGTTTCTTTTGCTACTTCATTTTCACTTAAAGAACTATCTTCATGATCAGTTCTTTGTATTTTATGTTTATTCCATTCTTCATAGAAATTGATTAATTCTTCCTCTTGTGCATTGAGCTCCATTACAAGATTGTTAATCACACTTTTTGATTTTTTTATAACATTATATGCTGATTCTTGATACACCAATTCTTTCTTGAAATATTTCCATTTTACACGTTCCATTTGTAATTCATATTCCGAACAAACAGTTTTAAATTTATTAAAAATTTTGAGGACGTGAGACTTGAACTGTAAGCTTTGTTCTTTATTAATTGTAACTTTTTTTGTTAATTGTGATGTGGAATCTAAATTTGAATCACTAGATACCACTAGATTCTTTCTAGCTTTTCTCTCAGTACTCAAACCAATATAAGAAATTTTTGATTTCTGGAATTCTTTGTCAGAACTAGAATCTGATTTTTCTTTATGTAAGTCGGTGAAATCTTTTTGGTTTGACTTTGATAATGAATGTGTCTCTTCAGTAAGCTTTTCATACATTGTATTGTCCGAATGGCTAAAAACTGAATCTCTACTGTCATTTTCTTTCCTTGCATTATTACAATCAGCTTTCTTATTTCTCATATTATTTTTGTGTATGTCAGTTTTTAAAGGTTCTTTGCTTTTTTCTTGTTTATGAAGATGACTTTCATTTTCTTTTGTAGTAACTGCACGTGATGTAAAACTTTTGCCTTGTTTCAGTCTATTAATGATATCTTCATCCGATGATGTATCATCTGAATTATTACCTAAAAATTATTTCAAGGCAATTTGATTACTATGATTGGTACTCCTAATTTTTTTTAAAAGAAATTATTTATCTTACGGCCAGATTTAAAAAAGAAGGATCGTATGCTCTCAGGGGAACTAGAATCATTGTCACATAATGACTGCATTGATTTCTGCATTTCTTTCACTTTTGTGACTCTTTGTTTTATATAAATAGAAGAACGTTTATGATTTGTGTTTCTTCTGAAATCAAATATAGGCTATTAAATTATGAATATACTTTGAATAAGAATATACAACAAACAAGAATCCATTTAAATAATCAAACATAATTTTTTCTTAGTATTTGTGAGTATTAAGGAACAATAAGTATAATAATCTTTTCTATTATACATACTCACCTATGTGACATAATTAATGAGATAATTCTTTATATTTCAAGCAATCAATTACATTTTTATTTTTTAACGAATGATATTTTATTGCAACGAAGGATAGAAGAACTACTGTCTGCTTTTAATTGCTTCTTTTCAAAGAAGAATATTTGTATTATATCTGTAAAAAGTAATCATATAATTGAAGTGATGAAAACATATTTCTTTTTTTATCTATTTAATAATTTCTATTTTAAATTTCTAACCAATATTTCTTTCTATTTAATGAAGTATATATATATATAATGATTTCAATAACTTAACATTAATTAAAATCATTATGTTTGACATATTATTTATAAACACATTAAACATTCCTTATGACTAAAAGTTAATACAAATTGCAAATCTGATGTTACATGAATATTTTCTCTTACGTATAAATGTTTCTCTACATATACTGCATGTTGCATTAATTTGCCTCAATCTTGAAAAATTGTTAAAATTTTATTTTTCATAACATTTTACATCGAATATAGCTTGACAAGCACGATAATAGGACTTATTTGTTGTACGAATGCATAATTGCTATTGTCGCTTTGGCACGTTAATTGTTCGAGAATAAAATAAAGTTTAAAATACGCTGGAAGATTCATACAATATTTGATAAATATGTCGTTTCTACGATATTTGTGCACACAGATAAATTTAAATCGTATTGTACTTCTAGCATCATAACAAACCGATTAAACAACAAACATGCTTTAAAGCTTTACGGGAGAAAGTTTTACGTCTGACATTTTTTTATAAATCATTATGGATCATCCCGAGATTATTATGCTCAAATTAACCGGATATATGACAATCAAATGGAAAAATTATACACGTATAGAAATATAATAATTACTTGAAACTTAAATCTATTTTGTCTTACTGAGATAAATACGGTTATCTTCTACCGCCCTCTAACAATGGAGGGGATAGAACTATTTTTAAATTATATTTAAATATATCAAATAAATTAGTTACTTTTACGCACATTGAAATTTTTCGTAATAGATACGAAAGTTTTCTACTTATTTATAATGCATAACTGAAACACAGTGAATATGAAAATATTCAATGAAGACTACAAATATATAAAATGTACATGTATGAAAAAAATTCAAGAATTTTTTATTGTTGAAAATACATTATTTAACAATAAATAAATATGTAAAATTACAATAAAAATGTAAATAATTACATACATGTTAATATTTAAATAGTTAAATATAAATATATGTTGTAAACATCTAAGAATTAATATTTCTACTGATGAAAGTTTAATTTTCTGATTTTCTCTCAGAAAATTATTATTTTAACAAATCCTGATTAATAACATAAAATTATGTTATTTATTACAATATCACATTATTTATTTTTAATTTATACATTTTAAAATTCATCAGCTATCTCCATTTCTTGATTTTCTGATGCCCTTGGATTATGACTTTGTAATCTGGACAAGTTCTTTTCCTTTGGAATGCAATACTTTACATCGAGTACTCGGTATTCCTCGAGCGTAGGAATATCACAGAAAAGACACCTCGTTTCTTCAAACTCTTGGTCCAAACACGGATGAAAAATTAAACCGCATATCGGGCATATTCTGTACTGAACGGTAGTTATTTGCAAAAGGGTAATAGCGCATCTAGGTAATATGTGACCTTCTGTGCACTTGGTGACTTTCCAGGAAAGTTCGTTTATAACTTTACCACATAAATTGCAAACTTCGTTATTATCCAAATCGAATCCAGACGTTCTTTTAAGAACATCTTTAACACGTTTGGAAAACAGAGTTATTTTTTCTCCTCCTTTTTCTTCTCCAGCGATATAAATTTCTAAATACATCCTTAATAAACGCATAGAAAGTTTTTGTTGTTCTGATAAAAAAGATTTGCTTTCAAGATGCGTAAGGTAATTGCACGCAGTATGGATAAAAATCAAGGGTTGAGCTTCCGATATTTCTCCAGTAATATTACCTACTCCTTGAATGATTTTTCTCTTTTCACAAATTTTCATCATTACAGATGACCACATTGCTACTCGTAATTCATGCAAAGACAATGATTCTAAATTGGATGGAATTTTTAGTAAAACAGTCGACGGATTTGACGCTTTTACTGCTTTCATTCTAATGGCTTCTAAACAATCCCAGAATTGCTCTAATCTCTCCTGTTTCCTTTCATTTAAAATAACCGATGGATCCCAGTTTCTATTTTTTAAACAAAACATATGTATTTTGGTTGGTTCTTTCTGTACTAAATGATCGTATATAGTATCCGGACTAGTTACTTTTACAAAAATTACACAACTTGGAGAATGTGCGAGACCTAGGTATCGAACATGATTTTGCGATAATTTATTATTTACTTTCGTTTTTAAAAATTGACCTTCTTCGATATTAACTGGGAACATTAAACCATTTTCTGTAGTGACTAACGCATAATTTTCACTTATGCAAATTATTCCTAAAAATGATTAATGTATTTATATTAGTGTTGTACATATACTTATGTATTAGTATTTCTGTAAATTGTATGATAATGTTTATTTACCCGAAATCGTGAAACCTTCTAATTGCAAATGTTCCATAGACTTTAATGTACCATTTTTCGCAATGCATAACAAAAACAAAAAGTTGCCTTTTGCAACCAAAATCTTTATATCCAAATCATTCTCTGGAAATATTCTTAAAGCGTTAATAGAAATACGATCTTTATAATCGTAGTACTTCTCAATGAATTTTAGTTCCAAATTTCCATCATGATCTTCAACATTAAGACCATAAATACGTCCATCAATATATCCAATAATAATTAAATGCTTTTTTGCATCAATTGTAACCCAGTTTAAAGCATTTATTTTTATATATTCATTTAATCTTATTGTTCCCACAATCTTAAGATTTGGCATTTCATTATAATTGAATATCTTTGGAACTTTATAAATAATTACATCTCCATTAAAATATGTAACAGTGAAATATGAGAAATTTACAAAAAGTTTGCTCCAAGTAAAACAAGAAGCTTGTAATGCTTTCAAGCAATTCTTAAATGTTCCAAAAGTTGAATTACTTTTAGCCTCCTTTAGTTTTGTATCAATTTCTTGTTCCATAAAGTTATAGCGAATAGGAGACAAATCGTATGCAGAATACCAATCTTTAAAAATTTTATATGCAATTGTAATAGCACCTGCTGAAGTTAAAATTGCAATAAGACACTTACTGGGATGTATTAAATTTTGTGGTGACCATGCTAAGTTAATTATTTTTGGTACTATTTCTTTTACATTAGATAATTTTGGAGTTATACTCTCTTCCATCATAAAGGAATAAAGTGCTTCACGTTGCATATCCCAAATTTTAGATTCTATTCTCTTAGATATATTTTCCGTTGGTAATGTTGTAGGTGCATAAATAAAAGTTCTAATAAACTTTATAGTTGAACAAGGAGACATTGGAGAAGGTATTAACTCCTATATAAGATAATACTATTAAGTATGCTATATTAATTCTAGATCTAATATTAACATTGTTAAATTACACTTACAAATATGTGAACTCCTCCCTCAGTAAGGATTGATATATGATTATCCGTAGACCATTGAACTGAAAATTTGGATACAACTGGTGGAAAAATTGTAAGATTATAAATTTCTTCTGTCTCCATTCCGCATCAAATATTTATGCACATAATATGAAGATTTTCAAAAAATTTTCACCTGCAGAAATTTTATATTTAATATTTGGACTCCTTTCAGTCTTTGTACAATTATACGCATAAATTTAGTTTTCCTGTTTTTTTCCTTTTTTATTTTTTTACACATATGCACATGCACATATAACCTAATTACAAAGATGTGTGTAAAATACATAAATGATATCAATTCAATATTTAACACTACATTAAATTTGCAGGTATTCATCCTTTATTTTTACATACAAGTACAGTAAATAATTTATGCGTATTTACCTTCTAAAAAATTAAATCTTTATAAATCTTACAAAAACTAACCTACTGATTGTCATCATCCTTTCTTTTTGAATTGTACATCTTTAAAGAAAGACACATTTGTACGTGAAGACATATTTAATGATTACCATTGGTCTCGCACAATGTAGAGTTAAGTACACTAAATGAGATCAAATTTTTTCAATAAATTTTATAACGTTTCAATCGGTCGAACCAACGCGATTGAAACTGACAATTATTAGCAAATTTTCATCACATACATAAGTACTTGCTTATTTAGTATTATTTCTTAACTTTAAAAAAAGAAACGACCGTACAATAATTACAATCTGAAAATTGAAGTAAAAGCAGACAAATAATATTTTATGTTTTGTGTTTAAATTTAAAAAAAAGAAAAAAGATTCGTCAACGGGCACCGCAGTAGGAGCGCAGCTCTTCGGTCGTACAAGATTTTAAACAACATTCTTCGTGAACTCCCCGCGTGTTCCTACGAAATTTTATCATTTCGACTGCATTTTTATAGGACTTGAGATAAGAATGCGGATCGTAACTGTAACCCATATAATTGTCCATTTCCATTTCTGAAAAAGAAAGGAAGAAGAGAATTCCTTTAATTTCTCTTAACTCTAGTATTTTTTTTCCTTATAGTTTGTCAACTTTTTTTTTTTTAACGAATGACTCGGATGCAATAGTTTACCTACCTTGATTGCTTTTCTTAAATCGGGGATTGTAAACACTACCGCACATTATCTCTAGAGTACTTGACAACATGCGGCCGCAATATTGGTGCATTTCTGACATAGATTGCTCCTTCTGACCATACTGAAACATATCCGACTGTGCATGTCCCGCTATCGGCATTAGGATCACTGTCAGTAGTATTAAACTCATGAGCGTGTATAACCGATTCGTGTACATCTAGAAGCAACGAAATATTGAAAAAAATTTTTTATATTTAGCAAAACCCAAGCTCGATATTGTACTAGTCTACTCTCGTCAAAAAAAAAAAATTATTAATCTTATCTATCTCATAACTGCGAATGTTTATGAAAATTCTTCACTGATATAAACGCCTAAATGAAAGTATATTTCGCATGTTTTGTATAATTTTTATATCTAGTCAGGCTCTTTATAAATTCATAAACATCTGCAGGTTATTCGTCGTCGCAATGTTTAGCGTGTAACAGTATATATAATACTATATATATACTATATATATACTATATATAATACTATATATACTATATATATATAATACTATAATACTATATATACTATATATAATACTATATATAATAATATATATATAATACTATATATATAATACTATATATAATAATATATATATAATACTATATAT